CCCGACAGCGCGCCCGGACCTGGCCTGCCAGCCGGGGGTCCCGCGAGCAGATCCCGGGGCGGGCAGCCTCCTTTGCGCAGCCTCCGATCGGGGCGGCCAACTTCGCCAGGCGCCTTCCACCCAGCGGGGCCGGTCGGGCAGGGCACCACCATGACCGAGAACTCCACGTCCACTCCCGCGGCCAAGCCCAAGCGGGCCAAGACCTCCAAAAAGTCCACAGACCACCCCAAGTATTCGGACATGATCGTGGCCGCCATCCAGGCGGAGAAGAACCGCGCGGGCTCCTCGCGGCAGTCCATCCAGAAGTACATCAAGAGCCACTACAAGGTGGGTGAGAACGCCGACTCCCAGATCAAGCTGTCCATCAAGCGCCTGGTCACCACCGGTGTCCTCAAGCAAACCAAAGGGGTGGGGGCCTCGGGCTCCTTCCGGCTAGCCAAGAGCGACGAGCCCAAGAGGTCAGTGGCTTTCAAGAAGACCAAGAAGGATGTCAAGAAGGTGGCCACGCCGAAGAAGGCCACCAAACCCAAGAAGGCTGCCCCCAAAGCCTCCAGCAAGAAGCCCAAAGTCACCCCCGTCAAGAAGGCCAAGAAGAAGCCGGCTGCCACGCCCAAGAAAGCTAAAAAACCCAAGGTTGTCAAAGCCAAACCCGTCAAAGCATCCAAGCCCAAGAAAGCCAGACCAGTGAAGCCCAAAGCTAAGTCCAGTGCCAAGAGGACAGGCAAGAAGAAGTGACAGCCAAGCCCTCGCTTGCCGGACACTCCTTCCTCTCTCCTCTTTTCTGTAAATAACTTTCTCCTTTCTTCTCTCTTGATCCTCCTCACCTGCAACCCTTTGCCCATTCTAGTCTGACTGTGTGAGACACAATTCTAATGCCTCAAGAAATTGTGGACGAATTTTTTTTTTTTTCCTTAAGCCAGTCATGCAAGAAGAGCAGCAACACATCTCAACTCGAGGATGAGAATATACTTCTATTTGGTTCTGGACATTTGCTGTCAGTCTTCTGGGGTTAGGGACTTGAGTGGACTTTTGGATTTTCCTGGGTGGCTTGTTTGCTGTGAAGGCAGATGGGGAAGAGAATGGGTGAGGCAGTTTGTTCTGCCCAGGAGCTCCAAGTTGGGCACTCTGGGACTGTTTGCCTTTGGTGGGGGAGTGGGGAGAGAAAGGGTGAAAAACTGGCCACCTGGCAGTGGTTGACAATAGGGGTGTCCAGGCCTGTTTCCTCCTCACTTTTTGTTAGTCTGCCCTGTGGCTTCCCTTTTGTCTTTGGGAGAGAAGGAGGATTAACATCGCTCCCTGCAGAAGCTGTAGCTTCTCCCAGTCAGCTGGGAACTCACCGTGTGGCCGGGGTCTTTCTGTGACTTATGCAAAGTCTCTTAATAAGTGGTAGTAGAAATTTGGGGGGTAAGGGTGGGGAGTCAGTCAATCAAGTGCCTCAGTGTGCCCTATTGAAACTGGGGGTTTTCCACCCATTTGGTGGATTGCATCCTAGAGGAAGACTTTTTTTCTTGTCTGCTCCTCCCGTATTTGGGGTGGCTTTGCTTGGTCTGCTGAGGCTTCAGCCCCAGCTACTTTACAAGCCTCGCGATCTTTTTACTCCTGAGTCTTTGCTAGTAGTGGGGGGCAGGGAGAATAGGACTTAAGTAGTTGGAATTTGCTGAGTAGTTTTAGGTCTGGTGCATGTGTGTCCATGTGTATATAAGCGTAGCTAGGGCGATCCATACGCCTCATACCAGGAGCTGGGAGAAAAAAATCTGTACAGTTGTCTGTCTTATTTTTAATAGGAAGAGTGCGCACTCTTCCTCCCTCCCCTTTTTAAACAAGTGTTATTTGTGCTGCCGGGAAGAATTTGCTGTCGTTGTCATTTTAAAACTTTAAAATAAAATTGGAAAAGGAAGCCCTGAGCGATGTGGTTTTTTCCCCCTCACCTTTAAACTAGAAGAGAACGTGAAACAATTGTGGGAGATCCTGGGTGGGGGCCCAAGCTTTCACCTGAGCTCCGAGGGAGGGGTCCGAGAGGTGACGGAAACAAAAGGACCCGGGGGTTGGGACGTTCTCCGGGCGTCTTGCCTTTGGTGTCCAGGGGGCACCCCGTTTCTTTCCCAAGGTGTCTGGGGGCGGGGCCGGGCGCGCCCCGCCCCCTCGGCTCCCCCCTCCAGTCTCCACTTACGAATCACCTTCAGTCCTCAGCAGCTACCGCCCGGTCACGCCCACAACCCAGGGCCGCCCCGCCCCTTTAAGGTGGCCCCTCTCGCGCTGATTGGTCGTCCGGCCCCGGCCTCCCCACGTGACGGGCAAAGCCCGAGTTCTTAGTGCGCACGGGTCCCGCGGTGTCTCCTGGCGGCTGGCGCGATGTGGGCTGTGGGCTTCTGGCGCGCGGCGGCCTCGGCGGCCCCCCGCGGACGCCGCGCACACTCGGCGCTGGCACAGCTGAGCGGCATCCTGGAGGCGGAGCTGGAGGGGATCCGCGGGTCTGGGTTGTGGAAGGATGAGCGGGTCATCGCCTCCCCGCAGGGCTCGCACATCCACGTGGACGGCATCCCCGGAGGTAACTCCCCTCCCCGCCGGGTGGCGAGGGTCCGTGGGGCTCGCCCAGGAACGCGGGCTCCGGAGCGGCGGGAGCTGGGGGCGCCGCTCCGCCCTCCTCCCGCGGCCGGGGCTCCCCGGGTGTACCCGGTTAAACCCGTTTCCAGGGCGGGAGGTTTTCCCGGGAGCACTTTGTGGTGCCCAGAAAAGTAGGCGGGGACGCAGCCCTGTGAATGCGTGACAAAAAGTCACCGGGCCAGGGAACCGCAAGCGAAGATCCCGTTCCAGATCTAAACTGGTCCGGCGCTACGGCTCGCGCCTGCGGTAATCCTGGCAGCTCAGTAGGCTGAGATCTGGGCATCCTGGGTTAAAGCCAGTCTGGGCAGACAAATCCCCAAGACTTCCTATGTTAATTGGAGATGATCCGATTAAGAAACAAAAAGCTAGAAGAGGAGTGTGTGGTTCAAATGATAGATCAAAAAACCCCACAAAACCGGAGTGAGGGCTGGGAAGGTGGCTCAGTGGTAGAGCGCTTGCCTTGCATGCCTGAGGCCCTGGGTTCGATTCCTCAGCACCACATAAGCAAAAAGAAAAAAGCCGGAAGTGGTGCTGTGGCTCAAGTGGTAGAGCGCTAGCCTTGAGCTGAAGAGCTGAGGGACAGTGCCCAGACCCAGAGTTCAGGCCCCACGACCAGACCAAAAAAAAAAAAAAAGAAGGCTGAGATCTGAGGATCATGGTTCAAAACCAGCCCGGGCAGGAAGGTCTGTGAGACTCTTCTTTCCAGTGAACCACCAGAAAACTGGAAGTGGCACCGAGGCTCAAGTGGAAGAGCACTCACCTTGAGCTGAAGAGCTGAGAGACAGTGCCCAGGCCCAGAGTTCAAGCCTTATGACTGACGGAAAAGAAAAGAAAAGCACACGAACACCAATATTCTGTTGTGGTTGATGCCCGGCAGGGAGGACAGGACTGTAATCGTACAAAGTAATTCACATTTTGGTGCACATTTACTATAACATTCTTGTCATTCAGTACAAACAGTGGACTTTGGACCACCCACCTCTTCCTCACCCCCTCCGGCCTTACCCCTGCCCCCGTGTAAGGACCATTACACCATGACTCCACCCACCCACTCCAGCTGAGAGAGAACTATTTACAGAGTCTAAAGGAATGTTTTTTTTT